CACTAGAAAGAATCTATGGGGTTGAAGGCAGAATTCAAGATGAGTCTGCTGTGCTGGGTCCAGTAGTATCAGTGGCATCCTTAATGGAAACTGGAGAGAGAAGTCAGGCTGGGGTTTGTTGCAGGTGGACGATAAGAGGTTTAATGTGGAATGCAGCAAGCTGTTGGAGTCCTGAAATGAGGTGAGATTTGTGGACAGAGGGTCCGCCGTATCATGAAGCTTTAGGATCTTGCTCAAGACCAGTTTTTTCTGTTGACTGTTATGAGGAAGACAGTGATGTAGAAAGATGCTGAGGAGAAAAGAGGAAATGGCTCTGTGGAATTTGGAGCTCAGGAGTTAAGGATAGTACTTTTTAAAAATATAAATATTGCCATTCAGAATTACCTTGTGCTAATATTTTAATAGACCCTGAAAATTCATCATGCTTGGAGTATCCTTCTAGTTTTAGCTTTCATCGTTATTCCCCTAAAATGCTTTCTGAGCATTTGTAAATCTCCACAGGTTAATGTTAATTAATATTTACATTAACAATTTACATTAAAAATTAATACTTGCATTACTGAATATAGGCTCACTAATAAAGCTAATATAAAACTTATATCTTGGACCTTCCTTTGGATAACTGCTTGTCATTTGACACTAACTGGCAGTTAAGTTTCCGTCAGCTTGTTTCTCAAGGATTCGTGTTTGGTGAGGACCATTTCACTTCTCTAGTTCTTCAGAGGGTTTTAGTAGGTGGTTGGGGGAATTTGTAGTGTATTTACAGTTTTGAGTAATTGACCTTAAAATATGTATGTTTCTTCTGTAGTGTTTAGTAATGCTTCACAAGTATGGTCTAATTCGCTGCTAAGCATGACAGTATAAAAAATGTTTAGTTAGGAGCCCCTCCCTTTTGCTAGCCACTGACTCATGCATCATACTATTCACAGTTTATTAGTATTTGAACTTGGAAGTATATCAAAAGCAGTTGTGAATTTGATACTAGAAAATGGTTAATATACTTGGAGATATTATTCAGTCTGCAGGTAGGGTTTGATGTATAGATTCGAGGACTCTTTGGTCCACAAGATGGGAACCGCTGGTATTGCATTTCAGTCAAGGAATATTTAAGAGTATTAGTTGTGGCTCATGCCCCTTGAAGGGGCACTTATTATATAGATTTTATTGTTACTTTGTGTACCAGTTAGCTGAAGTATGACTCACTGGATAGAATTTGGAAAGCTGTGTTCTATGCAAAAATAGGCTTGTACATTAAATTTACTTGGGTATTTGAATATATGATTACTTGAAAGATATTTAATAATGGTTTTATTTCAGTGTGCAGTATTAAATCTTAGAGCTGGTTGCTGTTAAAAATAATTTCATGTTCTTTTTGGGATGTTTTGACTTTGGTAGAACAAGTGTACTCAGTATTAATTTCGTCTCAGTAATGCAAAATCACGTAGTTGAACTGATGTTATTTTTACTTTTCCATTCCATTTACTGTTAGCACAGGAACAAATGATGCTCTCAGATAATTCTCTCCAGGATTTTAACTTTATAAAAAAGTTTTGTAGTATTAAATTTACAACTGCTTTTAATTATATACTTCCAAGTTCAAACATTAATAAAACTATGAGTATTATGATGCTTGGGTCAGTGGTTAGCGAAAAGGAGGGGCTCATAAGTAAACATTTTTTATACTGTCATGTTTAATAGTGAACTAGACCGTACTTGTGAAGCATTACTAAACACTACAGAAGAAATATATCTGTTTTGAGGTCAGTTATTCGAAATTGTAAATACACTACAAATTCCCCTGTAGTTAAAACTGAATTTTAACTTTCAGTTATGAAAAAACTATCTTACAACGTCTCAGTAGAGTGTATACTATATGTATCATTGTCTAATATAATGCACTTACCTCAGAATTCTTGAGCCTGGTTTTGATATTGCTTAGTTAACGTGAATTTTGGGGAGGGGTGGGCTATGTACCGGGCTTCCTTGGCGGCTTACACGGTAAAGAATCTGCCTGCAGTTCGGAAGACCTGGGTTCAATCCCGGGGTTGAGAAGATCACCTGTAGGAGGGCATGGCAACCCACTCCAGTATTCTTGCCTGGAGAATCCCATGGACAGAGGAGCCTGGGGGGCTACAGTCTATGAGGTCACCAAGAGTTGGACACGACTGAATGACTAAGCACGTAGCGCACACAGGCTGTTCACCAGGCTTACGTGACAATTTTTTATTTTTTAATGGCAGGGTCTTTTGTTTGTATTTTGTGAGACATGGACATTTAAGTTATGCTGGAACAGTATTAATTCCATGAAGATTAGCTAAGGTAATGTAAGGCCATAAACTGTTTAGTTGAGACTATATCAAAGTAATACTTAACAAAGCAGGCGTGAATTTTTGAAGTGAGTGTTTTAAATGAAATATTGAGATTATGTATCCTTGGATATGTACATTATGCCATTTGTTCTTGTCATGTTAAGTTTTTATTTGCTCATTTTAGTTTCCAGTAACATGAGCAAGCAATTTATTTGTATTTCATTCCTGAGAAACCAAAGGAAGAAACTGCCAAATGAATATGAAAGTTGCCATTAAATCTCGATTGTCCATTTTATTGATGCTTTTATGATTTTAGCCTTTGCCCTTCAATGCATTTTTGGATTGCTGTTAGATTGTGTATAATCAATAGATGCAAACTAAATTTAAAAATCTAAGTGCTGCTGCTAAGTCTCTTTAGTCATGTCTGATTCTGTGCGACCCCACAGACGGCAACCCACCAGGCTCCGCCGTCCCTGGGATTCTCCAGGCAAGAACACTGGAGTGGGTTGCCATTGCCTTCTCAGAAAAATCTAAGTAGATAAATATAAATTACCTGGGTTTGAGAAAAACAAAGTTGCTGAACGAGAAAAGGATTTCAAAGTTAAATATAAGCTCTCTCTCTCTATATATATGTATTTGCTTTGTTCTGTTAACTTGGTTTATACCATCTTTCCCTCTTCAATAATAATAAGTAATACAGGTAGGAATTGACTTATTAGTACTGCCAACTTAAATTGTAAGTCACTCAGTTGTGTCTGACTCTTTGTGACCCCTTGGGTCCCAGTGCATGGAATTCTCCAGGCCAAAATACTGGAATGGGTAGCCTTTCCTTTCTCCAGGGGATCTTCCCGGCCCAGGAATCGAACCAGGGTCTCCTGCATTGCAGGCAGATTCTTTACCAACTGAGCTATGAGGGAAGCCCTACTACCAACTTAAGATGAATGATAATAGTGCATACACACATATGTTTAAGGTTTTAGGGGAAAAATATCTTTCCTGTACCTAATTTGACTGACCAACGCAATCATCTGACCTTTGGCTGTATTAAAATTGTAAAGATCAGAGTCCATTATTAAAATAAATGAGTAGGATTAGAATAGAGAATTTATAAAAATAAAGCCTTTTTAAAACAATAAATACTTTTGGATAAAGTAGCAGGCTTCAAGTGAAATTCAGTTTTGGTCTCCTTTACAGGAATAGGTATTCACAATTCTGCAGAACCACTTAACACATTTTGCAGTATCTCCTGAGGAAGTCAGAATCTGAGCCACCATGACGACTGAGTCTTGTCTTTGTTTTGATTTGTAAACTGTGCTTTCATTTTGATCATGTACAAGGTGGAGGTTATAGCATGGAAACTAAAATCTTAGTAAGTGATTTTTATTTTAGCTATTAAATAATAGGCTCTCTTATAGTGAAATTGTCCTCTTAACAAAGTTTACGCTATTTAAAGGAGTGAGGACTTGGCAAGCAGGGACGTAATAATACACTTGTAAAGTGAAAGATTTTGCTTTCCAGGTTCAAAAGGAAAAATCCTTGAGAAAGAGAAGGAAAAGCTTCTGTTACTTTTCCTAGATTTCTTTCATTTTTCTGGTTTCACATAGGTAGCAGGATGATACAAATTTAGTTGAGAAAGGGATTTAAGAAAAGGGAAAGGCTGGCTTTCGTGGCCAATGTCTAAATTCAAGCCATTAAAAAAATCATTACATTTGCTGTGCAAGTTGCTTCATTTAAAAATTGGTTGTCATTAAATAATAAAAAAGTCTTCATAGTATTGTAGTGTTAGTAAGTCCAGTGTAGACGCCTAGGAGTCTTTTAAATAGTTAATGTAATTGAGTGCATTTTAAATATTGAATATTTTGAGTATAAATATTCAAAATTCTATTGGAGTGATTATGCTAGTGGTTATCTCAGGGATGCTTTGTCGATTGGTTGTCTCGAGAGTAGGTAATGTGCAGTTTTTATTTTTTGCACTCTAGACAGAGCAAGATTTTGAGGATAATAGGTATCAAGGAACATTATTTTGTTTCACATAGTTATTTTGTTAATTGTAAGCATTACTCCTCAACAGCTTTTCTACCTGTGCTTATTAAGAGCAGTGGGTAATTAGCATATTTAGGCTGCTTTTCTCCCTTAGGAAGAACAATAGAGTTGAATGTTTGATCTTCTGAATTCTTTAGTGAATCAAACATTGTGGTCCTATGTCTCAGTAGCATAATAGTCTGTTGCTCATAATTTGAGAATGTTATGTGTTTAAGATATATGGTTTGTGTTCTATCCCTTACCTTTGAATCTTTTAAGTACTGGTTATTTTTCTAAATTGATGGTGGTGACCTGGCTGAGATGAAACGTTTCTGTGAGAGGCTTCCTGCTTTAACCTCCTTCCCTCTTAGAACAAACTTCCCTTTGCCTGTCTCTCTTGCATTCCAAAGTACATTTTCATTAAATCCCCAGGTCTAAGATTTTTCTTTAGGAACTATCTCCAGTGTCTCTCTGGAAATTAAAAAAAAAAAAAATTCAGTATGCAGTGTTACATGCATATCTTGAGAAATTGATGTTTTATAAGTTGAAGGTTACTTTTATATTTTGGGCATGTTTTCAGGGGTGGAATTATGTAGGTATTGTTTTAATAACCATGTCCTAATTATTTATAGCTTCCTGCCTGACATAACTCACTTCAAGAAGTGCACAATGTCAGAACGTGGAATTAAGTGGGCTTGTGAATACTGTACGTATGAAAACTGGCCATCTGCAATCAAGTGTACTATGTGTCGTGCCCAGAGACCTAGTGGAACAATTATTACAGAAGATCCATTTAAAAGTGGTTCAAGTGATGTTGGTAGAGATTGGGATCCTTCCAGCACTGAAGGAGGAAGTAGTCCTTTGATCTGTCCAGACTCTAGCGCAAGACCAAGGGTTAAATCTTCATATAGCGTGGAAAATGCCAATAAATGGTCATGCCACATGTGCACATATTTGAACTGGCCAAGAGCAATCAGATGCACTCAGTGCTTATCCCAGCGTAGGACCAGGAGTCCCACAGAATCTCCTCAATCCTCAGGATCTGGCTCAAGACCAGTTGCTTTTTCTGTTGATCCTTGTGAGGAATACAATGATAGAAATAAATTGAACACAAGGACCCAGCATTGGACTTGTTCTATTTGCACATATGAAAACTGGGCCAAGGCTAAAAAGTGTGTTGTTTGTGATCATCCCAGACCTAATAATATTGAAGCAATCGAGTTGGCAGAGACTGAAGAGGCTTCTTCAATAATTAATGAGCAAGACAGAGCTCGATGGAGAGGCGGCTGCAGCAGTGGCAGCAGCCAGAGAAGGTCGCCGCCGGCCGTGCAGCGGGACTCGGAGGTGAAAGTGGACTTGCAGAGGATCGAGCTGGCCGGCGCGGCCGGCAGCCAGGAGGCGCTCGGGGTGGACTTCAAAAAGCTGAAGCAGATCAAAAACCGCATGAAGAAGACTGACTGGCTGTTCCTCAGTGCTTGTGTGGGTAAGTTTCTGCGTTTCCTGAATGGGTTGGGGAAAGATACAAGGAAGGTCAACATTATTTAGCATTTAGTTCATTCAGCATGATAGCTACACTCACAGTATGCATGCATAAGAACCTCTGAATTTGTGATCTTGTCGTAACATTGTCCTTTATTGCCTCCCATTTCATTGTGCATGTGTCTTTCCATCTTTAGAGAGAAAAATGTCAAGTTATAGCAGAGTTTTTTACACATCTGTAGTAAAATATATACCTGCAGTTTAAAACTGCTACTCTGCTTATTTAATAAGATGTGACTGAGGAGTGCCAGCTGCAGCTTTGGAGTGTCTGTAAACAGTGTGAGCGTCTTGTGATGGTAGAAGCTTCAGTCAGATGTTAAAAATATCACAAAAATGTGTGACTCCAAGAAGTTGAACAGACATAATACTGACCTTGAAAATGCTGATGTTAATTTTTTGTGATGTCTTATAGTGAATATTTGCAAACTTGGTGAAATTGATTGCATGTGGCCAGCTGATTCCGTAGTTGAAATTATGATTTGTGTGTTTTGTGTTTTAGTACTTTCCTAAGGAAATGCTGGATATTAGTCTCAGTTACTGACTCAGAGCTGTTAAGGGACAGAGACATGTTGTGAGAGTAGGATTTTCTCCAGTTACTGATCTTGTGAGTTAATTATTTATGATGTAATTCACAAAAGCAGTTATTTCACTCCTCTGTATGCCCCCCACCGCTTTTGAGTAGATTAGCTATTTGAATTATATAAATTTAAAGTATTTGGATTGGGTGCTTACTTTGACATTCAGTTTTGTAAAGAAAATTTTGAGTGACCATTAAAGTTAAATCTTGTGTGGAATAATAGCTATGCCTTAAACATGGCTTAGGGGTGTGTCCGTGGGGGGTGTGTGTGGTGTGTGTGTGTGTATTTCCCAGTACCAGTTAATTTTGTTTATCCTCCTGAATATGGAATACATAACTTATGAACCTACAAGTCCAAAGAGTAGATTTCAAGAAATCTGTTTTTTTGTTTTAGCTTTGTCCTGGCTCCCCAAGAACGTCCCAGCAGATGAGCCCTTCTGAACACCAGACACAGCCAGCACTTAGTAACTGTTAGCTCCAGTTTTCTCCTGTCCTGAGCACGAGGAATGAAAGCACATTGAGCTGTCTTCAGCCATCTGTGCTGTCCCATTACAGCCCATTGATTCTTTTTCTCTCCCCAAATTGAGGTACCACATATGGTGTGAATGTTTTTTCTTTTTTTTTTTGAAACCCAGAGCTATAGAAGGGTTTTATTTATTATTGAATGTTTAAAAATTGAGGTCAAATTCACATAACATAAAACTCATTTTGAAAGTGAACAATTTGGTGGTATTTAGCACATCCACAGTGTTGTGAACCCACACCATCACCTACATCTAGTCCTGAAACATTTTCATCATCCTGGAAGAAACCCATTACTCATTTAAGCAGTTGTTCCACACCTCCAAGTCACTGAGAATCAGCAGTCTGCTTTCTGTTTCAGTGACTATTATTGTGAATATTCCATACAAATGGAATCTTACGTGATCTTTTGTATCTGTGTATGATTGTCCTTTAATTACCCATCTGCCTTTTGGAACACTGTTAAGATTATTTTTGCAGGCAGTAGTGTAATATGTTGGAGAAGGCAATGGCAGCCCACTCCAGTGCTCTTGCCTGGAGAATCCCGTGGACGGAGGAGCCTGGTAGGCTGCAGTCCCTGGGGTGGCGAAGAGTTGGACATGACTGAGTGACTTCACTCTCACTTTTCACTTTCCTGCATTGGAGAAGGAAATGGCATCCCACTCCAGTGTTCTTGCCTGGAGAATCCCAAGGACGGGGGAGCCTGGTAGGCTGCCGTCTATGGGATTGCACAGAGTCGGACACGACTGAAGTGACTTAGCAGCAGCAGCAGCAGCAGTGTAATATGTTAATATTAACTGTAAGGTGGTGTTATAGTACCTGTACATTTATAGAAGGTAAGAAACTAGATTGCAGTGATTTTTTTTAACTTCTTTGAGGTCACTGTTTCTTCAAGTTAGTGGATCTAATGATAAGAACTGCTTTGAAATATTTTTTCCCCTTGACATGCATAAGTTAGACCAGTTAGTATATCTCTGTCTTTATGGCTGTTATTTCTTGCATTTCTGACTACTGCGTCTTGATGCTTGTCTTTCTTTCCATATATTGAGTTTTTTTGGATAACCATCTTTTTGCTTCTTTGAATTCTTAGCAATTCTTAGAAAACTGAGCAAAGCCAAGTCCCCATTCCTACATACTCCAGAGTTTCTGGGTTCTTAGGGCTAGGAATTGATTGGTACTTAGTACTGTGGATTCTCTTTCCTACCAGCAAGTATTTTTGAGTTTTCATTGTATAATATGGTTCTAAACAGTTGTATGAAAGATTTTGGTCCTGTCTTTGTTGGATAGTCATATCCTGATTTGTAAATATCATTGAAATATGTTTAAAAAAAAAACTTTTGGTTGTTTACATTGTGTTGGGTTAGCAGAAGCCCACATGTATTGAAAATTAATCTTTTCCCTTTCTGTCTGCCTTCTGCTTTCCGGATTTCATTAGATATGGTAGATTATGGCTCACTGATGTAGACATTTAATAAAGCCATCTTAGTACTCGCTTTGGCAGCATATATACTAAAAATAAGTCATCTCCAAAGTATGTACACTAAGTATAAAGTGTATACTATGCATAAAATTTATACTAAGTATAAAATGTGAGGCTTTCCATTTTAAATTGAAATAAAAAATCTCAACCTCAGGCCAGCATTTTAAAATGGGAATGAAGATTAAGTATTGAGAAGGCTAAAGCTGAGTTTCCACAGTATTAAGAAAGTATCTTTTATGTGACTATTGGGTATAAGTTTCACCTCAGTCATATTATCTTGTGTGGTGAGGGCACGTGGGGGACAGCAGTGCCAAAGCCAGAAGAAAAGAAATCTGGGAGTGGGTGCTGAAATGGTAGAGGCAGAGATGTGGTTTAAATGTGCGCTTGTCTTTGGAATGTCTGCAGTTTAGTGCCAGGTTATTTTCTGGCAGCTCTATCAGTTCTAATCATGGTCTGCCTTTCCCACTGGATAGATGATGATGTCCCTATAATTAAGGCAGCACCACCTAACACATTATTTTAGTGTTGCTCTTCTACCGAATCAGCTGCCCTTCAGAAGAACAACAAGGGACCCCCAAGTTGATCCCTAGAAAAGACACAGGGTCAGATAAGAACCTCAGGTTGAATCTGTACAATAACTTCTTGTATGCCTGAACCTTGGACTCTTATCCAGCTGCTGCGTCTGCAGCATTTTCCCTTGAATATGTAATATTTCAAACTCAGTGAGGCTAAAACTGAGCCAGGATCTCAAATCTGTTCTGTCACTCTCCCATGTTGGTTGATGACTTTGGACCCAGCAAGTTGATTATATTTGCAGTGTCCAAAGCTTTGGTCATCCTCTGTTTTCTCCTTTTTCTCTTATACTTCGTTCTCACTGGCTCTGTCTTCAAAATATATCCAGAATCTGGCCACCTGTCATTACCCTGGTCCAAGCCGTGATCCTCTTTGTTTGTATCCTTTACAAATTGTTCTCTGAAGAGGCGCTACTCCACTCAGAACCCTCCAGTGATTCCCTGTGAGCCCAGAGTAAAATCCAGTTTCATAGGCCTCTCTTCTCTCTTATCCCACACCTACTTCCCCCATTTTTAGACACATTTTCTTTCTCTCTCCCTCTCTCAGTCCAGCAACTCTTGCAACCTTTCTTATCTGCAAATAAACCTCAAGCCTTTGCAGCATCTATTTCCTCTTCCTGGATTACTGTCTCTAGATTGCAGGATTAGTGAATGTGCCTCCTGCAGGTATTTTCTCACGTGTCATCTTCTCTGGGAGGCCTCCCTGATTGCTGTGTCTGAAATTTCAGTCCTGTTATATATCCTTTTCCCCCAACTTTCATTTTCTTCACAACACTTGTTAACTTCTAGTATACTTATTAGAAATCACCTCTTTTGTCTCTTTCTTAAAACTTAAAACTTTTTTAGCAAATTTATTTTTAATTGGAGGATAATTGCTTTACAATCTTCTGTTGGTCTCTACTGTACAACAGTGTGAATCAGCTATAAGTATACAAGAACTTAAGCTTTATGACAACCAGGGATTTTGTTTTGTTCCCAGCTGTTTCCTAGTACCTTAAACAGTGCCTGATACATAGCAGACATTGAAATTTTTGTTAATCAGTGAATAAACTTTCGTGGAAACTGGGATCTGGACAAGTAGACCTTTCAGAGACAAACCTTTTTGCTTCTCTCCTAAATTTCTCCATTCTTTGCTTTCTCCCCACCTTTTTGTACTTTTCACCTTTTCACCTACTCTTGACCAACTTGGTTTCTTGTCAGGTTAAGACAGAGCAAGTAAGTTCCATGAATCTTATTTGAAGATGTCTCAGTTTATCACTGGGTGGTCTATGGATATGGAAAGTCTGAAGTCAGATTTCTTTACATTTAATTTCTCCATCTTCCTGATGAATATTTGATAGCTTGATGAATATATAAGGGAAAAAAATTATTGTATGTGTTTTCTATACCTTGAGTCCTGAATCAAAGTTTTTTTCTTGAAAAGTTTTTATTCAGTTGCCATTGGACGTGTTGCTTCCTGTTTTGCATTTTGCCTTAAGCAGCTGCATATTTCTTACATTTAACTTGTCTAGTGACCCTGCTAATGAAGATGGAAAGGATTTGATATTGGAGGACAGTGAGAAGGAGTGCTGTTGAAGGCGTAGGAGGAAGAGAATTGTGCTTGGCAATGGCATTAAAGAGAACATAAGCATTAGTAACATCTCTGTTGCCCCCAGGCTTTGTGTGACCTACAGTATGTACTGGTGTGCCCCTGTTGAGAATCAGACTTATGAGCTAACCCAGAATCTCATTATCATGGAGTATGTTGAAATGGAGTCACGAGGATTGTAATCTTATTACTGAGCAAAATTCTG